ACTCTGGGAGATTCCCTGGGCAGAACTCCCACCTCAAGTCATGCCCTTTACCCCTTTAATCCCAGAGGCAGACGCCAGAGTCCTCCGCACTTGGGGCAGGGCTTGCTGCAGCTGTTCAGTGGCCCAGTTGCCCGTGGCCTGTTCCTGTACCCGCTCCAGTGACCCCTGAGCTTGGAGTTGTTCTGGTCTGCTTTTAGGAAAACTCCCCTTCTTAAAGAATCTTCTCTTTGTCTTGTTGTCTTTTTAGTTCCGTTGAAATTTTGCCATTGGTTTGTTCCCTCTGTTTTATCTTTCAGAAACTCTTGATCATTTGAGTCAGCTGCCATAATACTTTTTTTGCCTTTCCTTCAGCTGGAGATTTATTTTTTCCTTTTTATTTCTTTTGTTATTTCAGAGATAATTTTGGAGGGAAAATAAAATAGAAGGGATAAATCTGCCACATTGAACCAGAAAATTTCCTTAGGTCTATTTACATATAAGAAAATGAAGGACCAGAGAATGAAAAGAAAAAAAAAATACGGGCAAAAATTGCTTGAAGTTTTCCACGTAGTACATGCAGAATCAAGATTTAAATCTCAGTCCGCCTGGTTTCAGAACAACCTGTTGGTATGCACACCACACACCCGTGCAGTATGACCAAGTTATTTAAATAATTTTGTTAGAAATGTACCACCAAAACACATCAAGAGACAATTTAGGAGGGTATTGTTGATCAAAATATGTACAATGTGTCTCTTTGGCAGTACCTTCAAAACCTCTGCTATGTCCTTTTGACTGTCATAAAAATCCCTATCCTCTGAGGGTGGATTTGACCTCTGATATTTTTCTGGAGTTATTTGGAGCCAAATTTGTTGATCCAAAAAGAATAATACTTCTTTTCTTAAACCCAAACCAAAATTAGATCTAACTATAAGGAGATATATTTTTCTTGAGGGACCTGTATACTATTTTAGATAGATCTAGAAGAATTCCAAAAATATTTGAACTTTGAGAATTTCATTGGAATAAGTGAGTGATCTTGTGAGGTGGATGATTTTATGTTTGCTGAACATGAACATTCTGAGATGATTAATTTTTAAATCTCATTTATTTGTAGTACATTAAAATAATTGTGTAACTCTAAAAATAATGAGGTTCACATAAAGCTTTTTCAGTACTTAAAAATCCATTTTAATTTCCCTTTTTTTAGTGTGTGGTGCCTCTTGGTAGGTATCTTTTGTTATACAGCTGTAATGAATAATCTTATGTAGAGATAATTTATCATATATGAGAGTATATCCAAAATAGAAGTTCTGAATAGATTTGCTTGGTCAAAGGATAGATTTTGCCAAATGGCCTTCTTAGATACTATGCCAGTTTACACTCTAACGGATAATGTTCTTCTACACATCCTCCTCAGACATTGAATTATACACTTTCTTATCTTTGCCAATCTGATGGGTTTTTTTTTTTTTAAGTATCCCAGTATAGTTTTAATCTGTGGGGTTTTTTTGTGTATGTGAATTAGGTGGATCATTTTTCAGTGATTGCATGTGACCTATTCATACTCTCTAACCATTTATCTATTGGGTTTTTCCATTTTCATCTTATGATTTATAGATTTTTTTTACATTCAATAAATTAATTTTTTGTCTACATCACATTTAGAAAAATAAAAACACATTAACTGCTGTGCATTGTTACAGCCAAATGTAAAACAAAACTGAACCAGAAACCTCTTAACCAACGCCTGAAGAAAGTAGCTGAACATTAGGATCACTAGATAGTGAATTGTCTGTTAGAGGAGTAGAATGTGCAAAAGCCACTCTCATGGTTAGACAATGCTTTCTACTTGTGTGTAGAAATGGTTGAAATTTTTAGTAAAGTCATTTTTTTTGTGGCTGTTGGGAGATAGAAAGTTTTCCTTTTAACCAGATTTTTAAGAAGATTTATTTAGAAAGAGAGAGAGAGAGCAAGCACAGGAGAGAGAGAGCAAGCACAGGAGAGGGAGAGAGAATTTTAAGCAGACTCTGTGCTGAATGCAGAGCCTGACAGTGGGCTCGATCTCACGACTGAGATCATGACCTGAGCCGAAATCAAGAGTCAGATGCTCAACCTACTGTGCCACCCAGGAGCCCCTAAGCAGATTTTAAATGGAGAAAATATGATGTTGAGCCTTTGCAAAGATGATAAGAAAGATTAATAGCTTGATTAGGGATCCCTAAGGACTTACTTTCTACCCACTTCAGCTGCCACTCTCCAACACAGGTACCGGGAGATGCATCGATGCTTCCATTTACAAATTATCGCGCCTGTCTTGGGTTACATATATGCCCACTTATGTTTGAGATAGGGCACAAACATGACCAAAAATAATAGGTTTATTCCCTGGACTAAGAGAAGATAACGTGTATTTCTTAAAACATTCCAGTAAATCCTTGAATTTTTTGTAGAAATAAATTTCTAAAGGAAGTCCTAAAAGGTTGACATGACTTTTAGAGTAAAAACTAACTTCTTTTAAGTATAAAGCCTATGCAAACAAAAGTTTTACTTGAATCAAAGTTTGGTTTGTTTGGGTTTGTTTTTTGTTTTTTGTTTTTTTTCCTGGTCATCAAACTTAGCTCGTGAATCTTATTTCATTTTGAGAAATTTTATCCAACTTATTTTCTTAACATTTTCCGCATCAAGACTAGTAAAACGAGGTACTATATCCTGTTACTGAGTCAAATAAACTATCTTACAATATTCTCTATTGATGGTAGACAGCCTTGTAAATTTTCTTTGACTCCTTAAATAGAATTAAGATTGAGGAATTAATGTATGGAGTAGAGTAATGGGACAGCTTTAGATAATCATCTTTGACCAACTTTCTGATTTAAATAATGATAGGAATTAAGTGATTACTTTTTCATTTCATCATCATTTGTGGTTGGTGGTGTTTGGTGGGTTTTGTTTGCTCTGTTTTTCAGAAGCCTACAGAGTTTGATTTTTCTATCGTTTGTCATGACAGAGAAGACAAGTTTAATTGAAAGCTATAATTATTTGCATTTAGAAATGAATGTGTTTACTTGGACCCCATACTTCATTCATACTAAATGTTGAGTATATTTCACATAAAAGTATATTGTATATTTCGCATAAAAATATATTTTCACATAACATGTTTTCTATAGTTAATAATGATCTAGTATTAAACACATTTTTTCAGGCATTCTTAAATCTACTTATTTTCCATTCATTAGAATGAGAAATTCTACCTGATTATGTTTTCTAGTAAAACTCCAAGGCGGGGCGCCTGGGTGGCTCAGTCATTAAATGTCCAACTCTTGGTTTCAGCTCAGGTCACGATCTCAGGGTATTGAGATCAAGCCCATGTCAGGCTCTGTGGTGGGTACGGAGCCTGCTTAAGATTCTCTCTCCCTTCCCTTCTCTGCCGTCTGTACTCGCTTGCACCCTCTCTCTCTCTGAAAAAAATAGAATAAAATAAAACTTCAAAACATTTTTGGTTGTTTTTTAAAAAATTACATTAATTTGCTAAGAACTGCCATAACAAAATACCCCAGACCAGGTGGCTTAAACAACAGAAATTAATTTTCTCATAGTTCTGGAAGCTAGAAGTCCAAGGTGATTGGGGTTGGCAGGTTTGGTTTCCTCTGAGGCCTCTCACAGTCTTGTGGATGGCTGGCTCCTTGCTGTGGCCTCATGGTCGTCATTCTGTGTTGTCTGAGTCCTAATGCCCTGTTCTTGTAAGAACGCCAGTCCTGTTGAATTAGAGCTCACCCTAACAGCCCTATTGTAACTTAATCACATCTCTGAAGACCCTGACTCCAAAATAGACACATTCTGAGCTACTAGGAGTTAGAGCTTCAGGATATGAATTTTGGGGGAATACAGTTCAGCCCATAACAATAATTAATTAATATATATCCATTTCAGAAATTACAGGTAACCATTAGAAGCATTAAAAGAAAATAAAAATTCAAAAAAAGAAAAGTCATCCTTAATCTTACAACCTAAAATCGACCAAAGATATACACACCCTTTCAGAATTTTTTCCTACTAATATACATGAAGTAATTTATAAAACTAGAATCATTCTGAACATAATGTCTTGGTTTATGGGTTTTTTTCTTTTTCATTTAATGGCACATTATAAATTCTATACCATGGCTCCCTAATCAGTCCCTAAATTTCTGGAATTTAGGTTATTTACAATTTTTCCTAGTCTAAGTACAGAAATTATCAGGTTTTAAAAAAAAATGCCTAAACAAAAACCTTCTAGAATGCATATACTATTTCCTTCCATTATAAAACAACTAAACCTCTCTCTGCATTTGTCATCACCATAAACATCGGTTGTTACACTGTTATTATACAGCTGTGTTCTCAGTTAACAGCTACAGAGCCTTGTCCATTTTCAGAATGACCCCCGACTGCTGTGCCCTTTAGTTTCTGTTCCTGGCTGTTATAGAACATATTTTATCTTGTGTTTGCCGCTCTCAGGCCATGATAACCCTATCCCCACCTAGAGCAGATTCTAATGTCCTACAGACTGAAAAAGCAGTTAACCAAAATTGTTATAATTGTCTTTAAAAGAAATCATTTCTGGCGGCACCTGGCTGGCTCCTTCAGCAGAGCATGTAACTCTTGATCTCAGGGTTGTGAGTTCGAGCCCCACGTTGGGTATAGAGATTACTCAAAAATAAGATCTAAAACATAAACATAAAAAAGAAATAAATAATTTCTGACAAAGTTCTGAGTGATTCTTCTTATGGTGACATCAACTTATGTGCAAACTTTTTTTTTTTACATCAAATTGTCTTTGGTTCAGAGAACTTTTTCTTAACTTTCTCACTGATTATGATGTGGCCACATCCTAGACAGTTTAAGTTCTGAATAAGGGACCTTTGTATATTTTATAGGGGAAATCTCACTCTCCTATACAATATATTCTTCTGAAAAATACGGTCATTTTATCTTCCACTATGATACTGACTTCTTACCTTTTCTTATGTAATCAGGATTGCCAGAGCTGGAATTGGAAGCAATTGATAACCAATTTGGACAGCCAGGAACAGGTGATCAGATTCCATGGGCAAATAATACAGTGACTGCTGTAAATCAGAATAAACCAGAAGAGTGAGTAATACATTTCCTATTTTATAAAATATCAGATATCAACTTATACAACAAAGAACTATTTTCCCAAACAGGATTCCAGCCTACATTGGTATTTTGTGAGATAGTAGTTGAAGTGAATGTTTAATGAAAAAAAGGGGGATGGAGGAAGACACCACATTAAACAGATTAATTTACTGTGTGACTGCAAGGCTAGTATGTATTGTAATTACCAAAAGATTGATGTAATATGCAGCAGTTGTTTTCTTTTTCATCTCTTGCTTTGCTTTAATTGATTACTATAAAATTTCTGAGACCTGTAAATGAATTGAGCTCAGTATAACAATTATTATAAAAGCTCTTGAGCTTTTTGTTGTATAGTTATTTTGTCCAGTGTTTCTCTTTGAGGCAAGATGGTATAAGAAAGGAAAGTACTTTTTACATCTACTAAGTGTCCCATCTTGATTAGAATTTAATTTCTTAATTGACATAAGTAGCTCCATTCCAAAACATTACAGTACATCTCATGCATAGCAACCAAAGGATGACTAGACAGTGTCGAGTGTGGTTTAGAGCTTTACCTCTGAACTGTATTCCCACTTACCTTCTCCAAAGAAGGTTCCTTATATTTGTATGACTAGTATGATTTTCTGTATATTTCTGATTTTTATGCATCAGTTGATATCAGTTGGATTAGACTGTGTATTTCCTTCATGTAAGCAACAGTTTTTTGTTGTTGTTGCTTAACACTGAGCATGTTTCATTTTCCTAGTTTGATTTCTTTTGTAAGTGGTAATCATGTTATGTTATCAGTACAATTTGATCATCTTTGAAAGTTGAGTATAAATAGAATAAATCTTACTACAGGCTAGATGGTTTTTTTCCCTGAGATTTTGATTGATTTTTGTTTTTGACTTTCATCAAGAATTCTTTTCCCTTTCTTAACTATGTTTAGTTAATTTTTCAAGCTGTTTCTATAAGCTAAGAGGAAGAATATGGAAGCAAATTTCAGTGATTGACAAAACAGTGAGAATATATGCAAGCTACATACAGAACATTTATACTTCTGCACATAAGTATAGAACATTTCATTGTGTGAGAATTGGTTGAAAAAGCATCTCAACAGAGAATTTTCTAGAACAAGATTTGCATATATGTGTGTATCATATATATATATATATATATTTGTGTTATTGAGATTGAAATCTTATTTGCTATATCAGTCTTAAGCTCTTTTATCTTTTGATTCCTTTAGCCAGTGTATTAGTTCACAATTAGATGAGCTTCTCTGTCCACCAACAACAGTAGAAGGAAGAAATGATGAGAAGGCTCTTCTTGAACAGCTAGTGTCCTTCCTCAGCGGCAAAGATGAAACTGAGCTAGCTGAACTAGATAGAGCTCTGGGAATTGACAAACTCGTCCAGGTATTTATTAAAATTGGCATTATTAAAATGATACAATCCTGAGAAGCTAGAAAATTATTTTTAAGCAAGATTTTTCAATATTCTCACTGTGTTTAAGTAGTTTTATAACTTACTCTTATGAAAGTTGTTAAATATAGCTAAATAATGAGTTTTTTTTTTAAACAAAAATGTCATAATAATTAGAAATAGTTAGAATTAGAAAGTCTTAGCCTTTCACTATGGACCAGAATCTTAGAGGCTCCCACGAGAACAGAATCCAGATTTATATCATCACTTCTTATTCTAGGACTTAATTTATCCTTCATTTGTGCTAGACGTCAACCTGTATATTCCATGATACTCCAAATTCCAGGTATTTTTTCAAACCGTGAGGTTGAAAAATCAGTTTATTGCCTCATGACCCATATTTTTTTAAGTAGTAGAATATATCAGAATGCATAGCCCAGAAAAAGGGGAAGTTGCGTTTCATAAAACTTCCCTTTCAGTTACGTACACACATGTGCATGTGCGCGTGCGTGCACACACACACACCAGGTCACAATTTAAATTAGATTTTTTACAGTGAATAATAGTTATCAATTTTAAAAGCCATAGCTATGGCATTCTGTTAGGCCAGCTATGAATTTTTTTCCAAATAAGAGGAAAGCATGAATTCTGTATTTGAGATAGAAAAATGCCTAACTAATCCCTCCTTTAATAATCTACTTCTCATGGTAAACTACTAAATGTAACGTTTGTTGACTCTTAGGCTTTGCAGCGTAGTTCTTTTCAAACCTTTTAGCTTCATTCCATTGATTTCAGCCTGTGTTTTAACCATGTTTTTATCTCTTTTCTGAGATTTTTAAACATCTCAGTTAATCTGTTACTCCATTTCAGAAGTAATTGTCATAAGTGATTCCTTTAAGGTAGGAAACTCCTAGAGAGCTTCATGAATTCAGCATAATATTTTATAATAAAATTTTCTAGAGATAACATATTCTCAGATCCAAGATTATATAAAGAAGCATGTCATTTATTGGCAGTAATTTATTTGTAAAATGTTCTGGCTTATTTTCCAACAGGGAGGTGGATTAGATGTCTTATCAGAGAGATTTCCACCACAACAAGCAACACCACCTTTGATGATGGAAGAAAGACCCAACCTTTATTCCCAGCCTTACTCTTCTCCTTCACCTACTGCCAATCTTTCTAGCCCTTTCCAAGGCATGGTCAGGCAAAAACCTTCATTGGGGACTATGCCTGTCCAAGTGACACCTCCCCGAGGCGCTTTTTCACCCGGCATGGGCATGCCACCCCGGCAGACTCTGAACAGACCTCCAGCGGCGCCCAACCAGCTGCGGCTTCAGCTTCAGCAGCGCTTGCAGGGGCAACAGCAGGTGAGTCGTCCTGGTTAGCAGGTGGCGCTTATAAGGGCCTGTGCTAACTCGAGCCATACTAACACAGCTCAGTGGCTAGAATAAAGGTGTCAGATAGAAGTGTTCCCACAACCTTTAAGAAAAACTCAAAAAACCATCCTTGGTCTGCGAGGATAAGATAAAGGAGATTTTCATTCAGTTAAAGACAGCTGGCTCATAACAAAGTACTTTGAGACTCACAATTTAAAAGCAATTAATTTTGTTTTTGGGGATAAAAAATATTTAGGATGAACATCATATTAGTATTAAATTAATAAAGAGAAATATATGGCTTAATTTATAAAGTAGAGCATCAGGAGATACTGTTACGATTGTTGGAACAGAAAATGAAATTTATGTTGTTTGAAGTTGGAGTGATTGAAGCTTAGTGATGTTATTATATTAGGAGAATGGAGGAAAAGATAGTTTGGGGATCTGGGGAGCTGGGCGAATTAAATCTTCTCTCTCATGACAGGTAATGAGTGGGTATAATGGCATAAATATTTAAGATTGCATAAGCAGCAAATACAGAGATAAGCATCAAGAACCAAAAAAGCAAATGCTTAAAAGTATTCTCTCTGGGGAGTGCCTGGGTGGCTCAGTCAGTTAAGCATCCAACTCTTAATCTCAGCTCAGGGCTTGATCTCAGGGTCATGAGTTCAAACCCCGTGTTGGGCTCCACACTGGGCCTGCAGCCCACTTAAAAAAAAGGGGGGTGGGTATTGGCCCTGGGAAGCAGGACCAGGGCTATAGATTGTGGCTGCTTCTTAACCTTTTTGTATTTTTTTAACCGTCTGTGTATATTGCTTTGGATTTTCGTTAAAGTATTTAAAGCAATTTCCTAGAGGGTTACAAATTCAGGAAAGAAGAGAAAGAAGGAACTAAATTATATTAGAAAGGCAATATTCTATAATGTTATAAGAGCTCAAGTTTCAAGTCCTAGTTCTAAACTTAACTTAGGTGGTTTGACAGTCAAATTATTTGCCCTTTTAAAGCCTCTGATTTCTGATTATACCCATAAAAGAAATATAATAAATAATTCCTCTACCTCATAGGTGGTATGTGGATTGAATGCGTTAGGACATATAAAGATCTTAGCACAGTGCCAGGCGTGCAGTAACACATAATAAATACTATCTATTATTATGAAATTATATTCAATAAATAATATGAGTTTCCGTTCCACTTAAAAAGAAGGTGATGAAAGGGGGAGAGAAAAAAAAGAGATGAGATAGGAAAGAATTATTAATGGTAGAATAGCAAAGAAAGGAATAATTTTTAAAATGCTGGGGTGGAGTAAAGAACTCAGAAAGGAATTAGGGGAAGAGAGGGAAGAAAAGAGAAAGAAAGGAAATAGTAATATGTTCTGAGTATTAGTTGAAGGTAAACTACTTCTTGTTATAACTTGTCATTCATTATTCAGTAGAAGGCATAAGAATAAGAAATGCATATAGTTCACAAAACATAGTGCCCACACAACACATTTAGGGAGACTCTACTAGGTACTATGAGGAATACAAAGAATAAGAGATACAGGCAACTTTTAGAACTTATAGTCAGCTTAGGGTATTCCAAGCATACACACCTGGAAAGTGAAACAACAGTGCAAGTAGTAAGTGATTCGGGGCTATCCCAAAAAGTAGAGGAAAACCTAGGTGTGCTGATTTTCTCATTTTAGAGGATAGAGTCAATAAATGCTGACTAAAATGAAAGGCTTACTGAGCAATGCTAGATCAACAGTCTAGGTCAGGTTTGTGAATGGGTGAAATAATCATTCACACGTAGTTTGGGAAAAAATTGCTTTTACTTTGATTTCCTCCTAAAGCAGCTGGTAAGCAGAGTAGCAATGCAAAGGATACACGTGTAATAAGGCTGCAGGTAGCTGAACGTGGCTCCCTGTTGCTGCCTGTGAATATTACAGAGGCATGTCCAAAGTTTGGTGGCCGGGGTAGCTCAACAGAGTGGAAATATCCATCAAATTAGAGAAATACAAAATTTTAAGCCCCCAGATATGTCAGTACACAAAACAGCTTACACTGCTGTTTAAGATGGTACTCTGCTACCTAATGAGCCTCATCAGCCAGACCTACTCTTTGGATTCTGGACCGTAAGTTCTGTCTAACAGCGGGGCCCTCAGTCCGCGGTGGCTCTTACTCTGCAAATGCTTGGAGTCTTCTGTGTGGGTCCACTTCTCTGTGTCCACTTGGAGTCTTCTTTGAGAAGGTCTGGCCAAGGCTTGTGTCCGTCAGTATTTCAGTTAAGATGTTTTCAGCAAAAAGGAAAGAAAAAAGATCCATTCAGAGTAGTAAAACCATTTTAAAAAAGCATTTTGACTCAGATAATGAGATGAGAATGAATAGAGAGGTCAAGGTGTGTTGCCTCAGAGGCTCCAGAATGTTATCAGGGACTTAGGTTCTTTCTGTCTTTTTACTCTATAATCCTTGGCAGCTAGAAAAATGGCTCCCATGGTTACAAATATCACATGCAAACAAAACTAACGGGAGAAAGGGGACTCTTTCCTACCCATCTTTATTTCAAAAGCCAAGAAATCTTTTCTTCTCCTTCTCTATTCCCTACCACTACAAAAAAAGAAAAAGGACCAAAAAATTTTTTTAAAAATTTCACACATCTGGCTAGCCTGAATGGAGTCACACGTACACCCTTAACCAACTGCAGGCAACGAATGGCTTAGGGTACATAGGTTGCCCCTTGAGACGTGTGATTTGGGATAATCAGCTGAACAAAAATCCTGTGCTTTCATTGAGGAAAAAGAGAAGGGTACATGGCTGTGGGCTGGCAATAAAATACCTGATAAAATCAAGAAATTGAGGTTTAAATATATTATTTAAAGTTATACAGGTAAATTCACAGTTGGATCAGATTGGTGAACTGAGGTAGACTGTCTGCCCTTTCTGCAGTTTGTATATTTTAAGTGAATAAGTTCATACTAGTGCAAAAAAAAAATATCATTGGCACACTAAAAATTAAGTGATTTTGAAATATAGAAAGCAAACATGACAAAGAAACAAAATAATCATATGCAAACAATACAACTGCTTATATAGAAAATCCAGGAGAATCTACAGGGAACTTAGAATCAGTAGAGGAATTCAGCAGTGTTTCTAGGGAAAAATAAATAAATAAAAATTAATAGCAGTCCTTTTCACTAGCAACAACCAATTAGAAAATACAATTTCAAAATATGTTGATAATGTATAAGACTTAGAAAATTACAAATCGTAATTGAAAGTCAAAAAAAGGTTCAGGTAAAGATATTAGTGAATGGAAAGACTATCATAAAGAAGGGTAGTTGTTCTGAAATTAATTAAATTCAGTAGAATTCCAATCAAAATCTCAACATGAAATCTAACAAATAAATGCTAACTTTATTTTAGAAGCACGAATACAATCTTAAAGAATCATGAGAATGAACTTGCCCTGTCAGATACCAAGATTTAAAATCAACCTTTAGAAATTAAAACAACGTGTAACCGGCATAGGCATAGACAGTTCTACCAATTGGAACGTAATAGAGAACCCAGAGACACACCCAGATGTACAGAAAGATTTAATAAGAGACAGAGGTGGCAGTCAGTGGAGAAAGGATGGCCTGTATAATAAATGCTAGTACATTGGACTGTCCTTGAGGGGGAAAAATTAAATTAGACTCCTTATCTCATACTGTCCACAAAAATAAATTCTAGGTATTTTAGTGATCTAAATGTGAATATGAAAAGATTTATGTGGCCCCTAAAAGGCATAAGGGGAAAAGATTGATGTTTGCATTAAAATTTAAAACTTCATAAGATAAAAGACAACATAAACAAGGTTAAACATAGACTCAGGGAAGATATTTGCAACCCTGTATAACTGACAAAGGATTAGTATCCAGAATACATCAGATTCATAACATGGTGTTCATAATACACTTACCTCGCTAGACTGATATCATCTGTTTACTTGTTGGTCATACCCTCTCCTTCCTCCTTCCCTCTTGCCAAACACAGGAAATATAAAGCATCTCATAGGCAGGAATTTAGGACAGTGCCTGATGATTTGGGGAAAAAAAGGTGCAAACTCAGATCTACATCATAGTTTCTTTCTTTTTAATGGATTTTAAGATCAGTTTAAAAACATATTTCTTGACTGTAAGTATATCTCATTGACTGGAATGTAGTAAACAAGGAGTAAAAAGATTCTAAGATTTTAAATTTGATTATACAGTTATGAATAATCCCCAGTTGGGGGTCAGGGGGAGGAAAAACACCCTAGGAAACAGAGATTCATTGGTTGAGACTTTTAAAGAACAGCAAAAATGAAGGAGGGAGCTGGTGATTAAGAAGAAATACGAAGTTGTAGTGAAGTCTTTAGGTGTAGTGTCTGCTCACATGTCAAATAAGCAAAGTCTCAAAAAAATATATCCATGATACCAATAAAGAATTCTTAAAGTTCTATTTTGAGAAAAGGACAGCAGCAAAAATGGGTAGACCTGCTGCTTGTAGAAAATTATGTAAGATTGGCTCATAAAAGATGTAATTATTCTGTTCTAGTTCTGTATTCTTCTTTTCCAGCCAGGGTCTTCATACTCTCAAGAAAAGAATACTATGAAAAGGGAGAGTAACATTGAGACACATAAAGAAATGTGATATACTTAGCCATCTTAAAACAAGTGAAGTCCACATGTGTTATGTGTTAGAGTACTGGAGAAATGTGTGGATCTGGTAGAAGAACCACTATTGATTATTTTTTATATATTAGAGAAAATAGAAGTGACCCAAAAGTAGAACTATGATCAAAGGGCAGAAAATACAGGGAAGCTAATTTCACCTCTAGAATTTCTGGCAATGAAAACTGCCTGATAGAAGAATAGCTTCTTTAAAAGAAACCCCTTGGGGTGCCTGGGTGGCTCAATCAGTTAAGCGGCTGCCTTTGGCTCAGGTCATGATCCCAGGGTCCTGGAATCGAGCCCTCCATCAGGCTCCCTGCTCAGCGGGAACCCTGCTTCTCCCTCTCCCACTCACCTTACTTGTGTTCCTTCTCTCGCTGTCTCTCTCTGTCAAATAAATAAAATATTTTTTAAATTAATTAATTAATTAATTAAAAAAAATAGAATAAACCCCTTGTCAGGGCACCTGGGTGGCTCAGTCAGTTATGCATCTGGCTCTTGGTTTTGGCTCAGGTCATGATCTCGAAGTCATGGGATCAAGCCCCATGTGGGGCTCTGTGCTCAGATTCTCTCACCTTCTCCCTCCACGCACGCATGCGCTCTCTCTCTCTCTCTCTCTCGTAAATAAATAAATAAAATCTTAATAAATAAGAGGGGCACCTGGGTGGCTCGGTCAGTTAAGCGACTGCCTTCGGCTCAGGTCATGGTCCTGGAGTCCCCAGATCGAGTCCCATATCGGCCTCCCTGCTCGGTGGGGAGTCTGCTTCTCCCTCTGACCCTCCCCCCTCTCATACTCACTCTCTCTCATTCTCTCTCTCTCTCAAATAAAATAAAATCATTTTAAAAAAAATAAAAATAAATAAATAAATAAAAGAACTCCTTGTCAAGAATTTACACGGTGGCTAAATCAGGGTTTTCAGTCTTGGCACTGTTGCCATTTTGGGACAGATAATTCTAGTTATAGGGGGCTTTCCCGTTCATTTAATAATGTTTAACAGCATCCCTGACCTGTACCCATTAGATGCCAGTAGCAACCTTTCCCCAAGTTGTGTAGCCAAAAGTATCTTCAGACATTGCTAAATTCCTCTTGTGGGGCAGATTCATCCCTGGTTGAGAACCTCTAGGTTAGATAATCATCTTTTAGGTTTCCTATGGGAGGACTTCTTGATAAGGCATTGAAAAAAATTCCATTCAGACAGACAGAATGTCAGCCAGCCCAAACTCTGGGTGTATGTGTGTTTTATATGTGTAGGCTGAGTTTGTACTGTTCACTGGCCACAAGCCCCACGTTTCCTTTTAGAATACAAGCCTTTTGACCTGGCCTTTATAGACTTTTGAATTTATGTCCCCAGCTCTGAGGACTCCTGACCTCTCTCTCTCCTCCCACTGACCAAAAGTCAAGATTTCCAAGGAGTTAAAGGATATGGTGATCCTTTTGGGAAGACTTCCTAGGAAGAATAGAACTTGACCTGCTTGCTAGATAATGAGTAGCATTTTAATAATCAGAGAGAAGAGGCAGGTCAGAGTGAGACAGCTGTATACAGCATTAGTCAGGTCGTACACAGAGAGAGGGGAGGGGGAAATGAAAAGAATTATTTCAAGGGCAGAAATAGATCAATTTTTCTTTAACAGAAAGTGCTTTAGAATAATTTCTTCTACTTCTAAAAATAGCCTAAATATCCTAAGGTTATTTTCTCATTTTTACTACTTCTCCAGCATCTTTCTTCCATCCCCACCCATTTCATTCTCACATTATCTCACAATCAAAGAATATATAAAGCTGTAAGTTTAGAAACCCAACTCCCACTCACTCCCCTGGCTATGTTACTTCTCTTCATCACTAAGATTAATGTATTTTCCCCTATCCTCATTGCCTCGTCTTCTGTTTCTAGATTTGCTGTACTTTCTGCCTTAAGTTAACTCTACCATCCTTCTTGCCGCCTGGCATTCTCATCTTTCAAGGTCCCATTGAGTGCACTCATACTCTTGGTCCCTGCCTTCCTGCTCTAGGCTAAGTGCCTTGTAGATGTCTCTGGATATGCAAGGGTAGCACTCATAGGTGGCGCCCTTCTGTATTGGCTTCTGCCACTCAACAGAGAATTCCTGGAGGACAGAGATTTGCTCACCTCTGTAGCCTTCAAACCTCATGTATTACCTTGCATATACTTAATTTTTTGATAAATCTTTATAAAATTAATGGTTTATTTAAACTTATGTCTGTGGTCTGTAGAATTTAAGAAGTACATAGATTTTTGTACTTAAGAGTCCCTTTGACTTATCTTTTTTTTTTTTTAAAGATTTTATTTATTTGAAAGAGCGTGAGCATGAGCCAGGGGGGAGGGGCAGAGGGAGAGGGAGAAGCAGGCTCTCCACTGAGCAGGGAGCCCAACACGGGGCTTGATCCCAGGACCCTGGGATCGGGACCTGAGCTGAAGGCAGACTCTTAACTGACTGAGCCACCCAGGCACCCCAGGAGTCCCTTTGACTTTTAAAACCATAATGTTCATATCTTTATTTTTTAAGCGATTCTGAATGTTCTATCCTGTTCCATGAATGCCTAAAAGTTTTAATTTTTACATTTCTAGTAAAATGAGCTTTTCCCCAAAAAACAGTTTGTTTTCTGATCTAATGGGAGTCAGAAAATTAATGAAACCAGAATTAAGAATTGAGTTGTTTGGAGATGGGAGATTTAATCCCTGCTCACAGCAATTTGGATTCTCTTATAAAACTTTCACAGTCTTTCTAGTTTGCATCTCATATATTAAAATATATTAAATGTATTAAAATATAAAATATTAAAATATATGGATGTGTTAATATATTTATTAGTAATTTACATTATAAAGTACCATATAAATACAAAATAGGATTGATATTCTTATGATCTCTCTGAACAGTTTATTCACATCAAATGATTGAGCAAGAAATTCTTTAACCTATAGATTGTTTATCAGGAAATATCACTTCCCAGGATGCTTGTTTTGTTACCTGATGAAGCTAAGCCATGCCTATGACCTGAAATTCTAAGCCTGATACAGACAGCATCTTCCAAACTAATGTTCCATACAAAATTGTTCTAGGAGATAAATGTTAATGTGTGTCAGGGGAAAAAAAAAAAGGTTCGTGAAAACAAGTTGCATAGTATATCCCCTTCTCGAAGATCCATAGTGTGCTTTGGCCAATTAAAGGCTCATAGAATTACTGCAGTAAAGAAATCTGTTTCACCTTGTGTAACCCATCATTTCCAATACTTAATACAGCACAGCATGCTATTTTCCTGGCACATCTATTAATATCCTGCAGAACAGTGTTCTTTAGAACACCAATTTGGGAAATGCTGGTCTAAAGTAATTACTTCTTCTAGTTAAATAAATAGTCTATTTTCTCAAACCATTTGTTTCTTACATAATTCTCCCCAACGAATGAAATCACGTTGGATTTCCCCAAATATGTACCCATCCGACAGTCAGCCTCCAAGTGAGAAGTACCTCAACTTTTCCATTAATCTTCCAGACCTTTGTAGAATGTGCCCTATTATGTACCTACTTTTATACTCAGAGTAGTTTAAGTTGTAGGGCTGGTGTTTCTTTTCTCTCCATTATTGTACTTATCTGAAATAACTAAGTATTAGCATGATTTTAAAAGTGTGATAGATGGGGGTGCCTGGTGGCTCAATCAGTTAAGCATCCAACTCTTGATTGCAGCTCAGGTCTTAATCTTGGGGTTGTGGGTTCAAGCCTCACATTGGGGTCCACACTGGGCGTAGAGCCTACTTAAAAAAATAAAAAATAAAAGTATAATATATGTATGTATGCATGTCTATACCTATGTGCATAAATATATGCCCACGTGTATGGATTCTGCTTTCAAATGCTCTGTTCTATTTGGTGTTCTGTAGGCAGGAAATATTTGATAAATGTTAGGAATTGCCAGCCTTTTGACAGATAAACATAGGAAATAATCTTACTAAACCTGTAATACTAAAATTTATTAGTAATCAATAAAAAGTTTGTGTTACTCTGTAAGGGCCAAAGTATATGTTTGTATGTAAAAATATGATATCTCATTGTTCCATTTTTCTCTAGTTGATCCACCAAAATCGGCAAGCTATCTTGAACCAGTTTGCAGCAAACGCTCCTGTTGGCATCAATATGAGATCAGGCATGCAGCAGCAAATTACACCTCAGGTAATGTGAGAAGACCAGACATTGTTAGTACTTCTCTAACCCAAGCTGTGTTTCTTAAAGTGTTGACTTGAGTGTCTGAAATGATCTGTGAATTGATCTTTTAAGGTAGTAGTACAGCTTTCTTCTAGAATGAATTTATAATCAACTTGTGATACCCCTTACTGATATTTGATCTAGAGCCAAGAGTCCTTTGTTTGGTTTTATTGGTGTTGTTGTCATTGCTATTAGATACCAGATGAATCAGTAGAACATTCTTACTGCTACCCTGAATAGGGCCAGTAATAAGACTCCTAGATAAGAAACTGTGTGCATGGTACCTGAAACCTGATCAAAACCCAGTCACATTGCTGAGTGATCTTAACTACCTTGTGTTCTCTGCCTCATTCTGAGCATCAGCAGTTTCTGTTTTTTATTTATTTTAACAGTCCTTGTACATGAACCCAAGGCCATTGAAACTTTAAACATAAAAAGAACTTATAAGTCTTGTCTGGTACTCACTCCCTACTTAACTTCCACACATACTTTAGTATTTTTGCTTCAACCGCTTCTTTATGTTTTCTTAACCAAGGGGACACAAAAATTTGAGAGATGAGGAATTTTAGACAGGACTCACACACAAAACTTTTCTCCATAAAATGTATCTAGATGGATTTGGGGCAAAAACAGGAAGCCGACCGTAACCAAAAGGATAAATATTGACAGAAACTACTGTTAATGGGGGTGCCTGGGTGGCTCAGTCAGTTAAGCGTCCAGCTCTTGGTTTCAGCTCAGGTCATGATCTCAGGGTCTTGGGATCAAGCCCCCTGTTGGCTCCATGATCAGCACAGAGTCTGCTTGGTTTTCTCTCCCCCTCTTGCTCTCTCTGAAAAGAAAAGAAAAAAAGAAAAGAAACTGCTGTTAAGCAGCAGATATTGGCATCTTCATGGATTCATACTTGGGTTTCCATGTCTTAAAAATCTCAGTGATTAGCTCATGCAAGGTAATTAGGTTATACGGAAATAAGACCCCACTTTTGGAATTCACGTAAAGATGATTTCTATTAGAAAGTCATATGTCACAGTTTCTTCTAGATTGGACTATATCTAGTTGGTAAGTTTAATTTTAAAGGAACTGTATGCTTTGATCAGATCCTCAATCTGAATTGAAATTTTCTGAGGAAGGCTTTATTGACATGCCATGTTGCTTTACAAGTTAGACCAAAAAGTGATTTTAACCTAATTTTACTGCTGCTTTTGTCATTCCTAGTATTATAGCTATTAAAACACATACTCTAACACCTGGAGTAGTCTTTACTGCAACAGTGTTATAAAAGAGTTGGTTCCGGGGCCCCCCGGGTAGCTCAGTTGGTTAAGCATCTGACTCAGGTCATGATCTCAGGGTTGTGGGATCGAGCCCCATGTCTGGCCCCGTACTTAGTGGGGAGTCTGCTTCTCTCCCGCTCTTTTCCTCCCCCCTCTGCCCCTCCCCCTGCTCATGCTTTCTCTCTAAAATAAATAAATAAATCTTTTTTTTTAAATAGCTGGTTCCATTTATTTCAGTTTATTATTTTATTTCTAACTATTTTCTTTTTAAATAACAGTGTGTTTGCCTTTGGATCCTAGATTTCTGATTCTTCCTTTTTCAAATGGTATTTGTAGGTTTTTCCAATTGTAAAGATAATGCATGTTCATTATAAATAATTTGGAAAATGCAGGAAAGTATGATGAAGAAAGTTAAAATCAACTATAATCACATTTTGTTCATTTAAGTAAAGTGGAATAAATGATCTCAGTGAGAAAAGAAGGGAACTAAGAAACACAGTCAATTTTGGGGAAATGAAAAAGAAAAAAATCTCCTAACAACCTAATGTCAGATAAGTTTGAAGTCATAGTGATAATTGCTACATATTTTGTTGCCCCAAGCTACGAGGCTTTATCCTATAAGCTTTCCAAAGTAGGTGGTGATGATAACAATATTAATAAGTGAGGAATTGTTTTCTCCTCTGCAGCCACCCCTGAACGCCCAAATGTTAGCACAGCGCCAGCGGGAGTTGTACAGCCAACAGCACCGACAGAGGCAGCTAATACAGCAGCAAAGAGCCATGCTCATGAGGCAACAAAGCTTTGGGAACAACCTCCCTCCCTCATCTGGACTGCCAGTTCAAATGGGGAATCCCCGTCTTCCTCAGGGTGCTCCGCAGCAATTTCCCTACCCCCCAAACTATGGTACAAATCCAGGAACCCCACCTGCTTCAACCAGCCCATTTTCACAACTGGCAGCAAATCCTGAGTCAACCTTGGCCAACCGCAACAGCATGGTGAACAGAGGCATGGCAGGAAACATGGGAGGACAGTTTGGCACTGGAATCAATCCTCAGATGCAGCAGAATGTCTTCCAGTATCCAGGATCAGGTACGAAGATTGCACCTCATAAGCATATGTAACGGCCCCGGTGTTTCAGTGCGCTGACAGTGGGGTGCTGTGCCAAAGAGGAAGGATGCTCCTATGGGAGTCAGGAGATCGGGGCTCCGGACCCCTCTCTTGCCACTGGTGGTTAAATGGTTGGAGGCTTATCACTCACTGATAGCTAAGACAATTAATCAGAGGATCCAGAAGGCCTGGTCTGATTCTAAAATTTTCTGCATTTTGTCTGCAGGGTACATTCTCTTACTTTCTTACTTTCTGTCATGGATCCCTGTAAGAATCTTATGAAAATCCACTTCAGACAATGGGTTGAAGTACATTAACTCAAAATGTGCATACAGTTTTTTCATTATGTTGGAGACTTGGTTTTTGATAGTTTATAGAGGGGTAACCCATCTTTACAAAGCGTCTCGGGCTTCTCATTGGTGTCAGCACTCTTAGCTGCTTAAGTTGAAAGCTTGTCCTCTGCAGTATCAAGAACTTCCTGGCTTCCAGAAGGTTTTTCCTTTTTATTCTTTTGTTTGCATTGTCTCTCTTCCATTCTCTTTGTCCCAGGTGATGATGTCCCTTTAAATTTTACTTCTACCACTTTCAGATTCTAATGGGTAGTGGCAATAGAACACATTTGATTAATCCACGATGTTTAATCAAACTTTGATACAAAATTAATGGCAGATTCCTGGGGAAAAAATTGAAATAAATCCCTTCATTTTCTAAATGAAAGAAAAAGTAAATTATAAGTCTGCCTAAAAATGAATTTCCATGAGAAGACTGCTATTTGACTTGAAATAAAATGCTGAGGTTACATAGAGATTTTTTTTACATAGCAATATGCTTATCAACTTTGACAGCCAAATCAATTTAGACTTTCATTCTGGTGGCAACAAGTGCTAAAATCCTTTGACTATTAAATTAAGTTATCTAGGGAGACTTGTGTCAGACAGCACCAGAATTCTTTAAGATCTTTTACTCAAAATTATGTCACATCACTTCCTTTGTCCTCAAGACAATGAAGTCATCTTTGGCTGGTTTATATCGCTGACACTATCTGTATGGGCAAGAAAAGGATTATAAATCCATAGTTTAATACAATATTGTCTGAGCCTTTTGAAGGCCACTTTCATGTGTCTTACGACTTCTGTATGCAGAGAACTTGACAAGGCTTTTTCACTTTCTTCTAACCTGCAGAAGTACTTCCTCCAACATTAGAAGACCTATTTAGTTACCTGGTTCTCCATTTCTCTTCCAAAATAGCAACTTAGCCCAGACAGCAAATAGAATCTTAGTAGTATTCAGAATATTGATTACAGAACCTTAAATCAAAAGATTTGTCTCATTCATTGGCAAAAAAGAAATAGCTATGAGTAAGCCAAACATTAGTAAATTCCCCAAGGATTCTTTTCTCTTAAGAAATAGATAAATAAAAACAGTACTTCTGCCCATTTTCAGTCATGCTCTTCAACACCTCTTCTCTGGAAAGCCAAGAATTTCCTATCCCGCTCCCATTTCTTGACAAAAGCCACCTAGAAAGGCAGTGCTTCAGAACCCCATTTCCGATGAAGCTGACAAGATTTCTTTCAGAGTTGTGGGTCTAGGCTTTGATCTATTGCCATGTCAGTGTACACACAGTGATTGAGATCAGGAGTGGGTGGAGCTTACTTCTCTAGGCGACATAACTGGATGTGTTGCTATCCATTGTAAGTGCTCTATCTGGTACCTGGATTTTTCTTCTAGTCCAAATTTAGATCGACAGAAAATGCTTTTCACCAAATAAGAATTCATCATCGATGGAAGTCAGCATTCCTACTACAAACAAAACCCAGAAGCTGGGTATAATAAAGAGAGTAGTTGTTTCATCCAATTGCAAACTGAAATGAAATGACAGAGCTTGCAGTTCCTCCATGAGCTACTTCAAAATAATAGGGGGGAGGTTGTCAGGTTTTCTGGAGAGCAAAAGAACATTTAAAGAGGCAATGTTTTTAAATTTCTTCCATTGCTCTAAGTTATAAACTCATTCCAACATTATCCACAACCTGGTAGAAAGCTTTAAGGCCAGGTTTTGTGTGAGTACAAATTGAGTTCTGGAAAAGTTTCAGTCTTTGAAAATGAGGACTTCTTTTCGGGGGGAGAAAAGCCATCACATGATTTTGTAAATAAAGTTTTATTGTACCACAGTCATCCTCATTAGTTTACATATTGTCATCTGTGGTTGGCTTCATACACAGAGTTGAATTGTACCAGAAACCTTATGGCCTGCAAAACCAAAAATATTTCCTCTCTGATCCTTTGCAGAAAAAGTGTGTTGTGTTAATTGATGTTAGGAAAACCGAAGGTTGAATTCATTAACTTAGCTTTAGTCCTTTGCTTTGGCATCCTTTAGCTTAGTAGAGGCCCAAAGTAAATGAAGGCACATGTAGGTAATAGTAATGGCAGAATATGCTTTCTTTTATTTCTGAAAACCAAAAATTTTTCTAGACTATCGGACCATAATGATAAGTACACAAGAACAGAATTAGGCATTTAAAATTTATTTTAGGGGCACCTGGGTGGCTCAGTCGGTTAAGCATCTACCTTTGGCTCTAGTCATGATCTCAGGGTCCTGGGATCAGGCCCCACATTGGGCTCCCTGCCTCTCCCCACTCCCCCCCTCCACCGCCCCTGCTCATGCTCATGCTCTCTCTCAAATAAATAGGTAAAATCTTAAAACAAAAACTGTATTTTTAAAAAAATACATAAAATAAAATTTATTTTATACTAAGGTGATATTTAAAGGAAATATGATGGAAATTTTTACAAAATTTTGTGCCCACTTCATGAATTCCTTGAAGCCAATGCATAGTGCCCTCTTCTGTGAGCTACAGTAAACGTGCTACTCTACCCATTCCTCGTAAGTGCTCTCATCTCTTCCTGTGGCTTCAGTGACCTCTTCGTGCTAAGGACTCTCTTCTCTATCTCTAACCAGATCTCTCAGCTTTTGTGTACAGCTGCCTGATGACAGACATACTTGAATTGTCTCTCCGCTAGCACCCAAACTCCACTTGTCCAAAGTTAGACTCATCAGTTCCACTCCCCTTCTCTCCATATCTCAGTGTTCCAGCTGTCTAACGAACTTCTCAAGATCTAAGAAAGAATATATTCCTTGCTCTCTTTTCTTACAAAGCCTTGTAATCCTGTATCTGCTGTCTCAAACCAATATCCTTCATTCACCTGCCTCCTTCCTGTTCCTCACTCCTCTCAGAAATGTCTCCTCAGGGAAGCCTTCCCTGACCACTCCCAATCATAAGCACTTACCACCCTGTCTTACAGACACTTGTTCACCTATATGCCTTACTTTTTAAATAGCAAGTTTCTTGACTGAGCAAAGTCTGACCTTTTTAGTTTCTTAGTTGCTCAGCACAGTGGCCTGGCAGGGAGTGTAGATGCTCAATGAATCTTTGGAGAAGTAAATGAATGGAAGGATGCATCCCGGTTCTGGTTGCTGCTGCCAAATGGCTGTGATGCTATTTATGGTCCAGCAGGGAGGCTTAGCATAGTCTAGGCAAAGATAGAATTGTAGAAATTTTAAACTGGAAGAAACTAGATTGTCCGGTCCAAGGAATCCAAGGTCCAATGTGGTGGCAGAACCCGAACCGGAACTCCGACTACCCCTCCAACTCATTATTCACAAGCTGGTTCTTTCTACTAAAACTAGGTCATCCGATAAGGAAAACAGTTAGAATGTGAGATGAGTCCAGAAAGAAATGTCAAAAACTCTGCTGATACACTTGCAATCTTTTATTTATTGTTTAACTTTGATTCCACAGAAAAATGTCCAGAATATGTAAGTATCTTTTCTGCCCTCACATACATATTTTTCTGAAAGAAATTAACAAGGTTAAAAATGCATTAGGAACAGACAAGTATTTTTTCAAAGATCACAACCAAAATAGTTAAAATTTAGAGCGTATGCAAAGATAGTCAATGTATAAATGAAGAAGATGGGGGGGAACCCATCTTCTAGAGTCATAAATGAAAAAAATAACTTCTCTACATATTCTACATCAAAATTATTAGGGATTAAATTACAGATGGAGGAAGCAGCAGAGAGAAAATACGCAGCTTTATTTATATACTCTTTACCAAGAAAAAAAAGTAGTTAAACATTTAATGAAAGAAAAACCTAGGAGGTTTACAGTTGGCTCAACTTTCACAGAAAATTTAAAATATTTTTAAAATTGTAGCCTACGAGGAAGACAAAAGTGAATAAATTAACTACATCTCCAGCCATATTAACCAAACAAAAAGAGAAAAGTCATAATAACAATAGCAAAACATAGAATATACAATTATATTTATAGAAAGACATTAAGGACATAGAGACATGCTTATGATATAATCATAAGAGAAAGAAGCAGGTCACAAAATTGCATAAGATTTTATAAAGAATTTAAAGGAATTATACTAAATTATGGGTAATCAAATTATGGCATTCTTCTTTTCTACACCTTTATAGCTTTCTGTACCTCAAAAGTATTTAACTATGAAATGTATTTTGTCAGGAAAAAAAAGAAAAATACAAAGTGCTAGCAGAACAGAAGTCATAAAAAAGAAATCCATTTTTACTCTTTTAAACTGTTAGGACTTCCACTTTTGGCTAAGTTGGAGTAACAGGAACCAGATTTATTTTCCCATTTGAAACAAACAAAAAAAACCAAAGTATATTGAACTATAGTTTTCAAAATTATCCAGACCATGCTGCATGGAGAGGGAGTCCAAAATGAACCAGTGGTTTCCCTCAGTTGAGCCCATGGAGCTGGGAGTCCAGAAAAGCCAAGGCAACTTGAGGTCTCAGGGAGGACCAGAGAAGAGAGAGAGCCACAAGGAACTGCAGGGATGTGCACAGGGTCCCACTCAGGGTGTGTGTATATGTGTGTGTGTGTGTGTGTGTGTGTGTGCGCGCGCGCACGCGCACGCACACACAAACCAAGGCCAGGGAAAACCACCTGGAAAGATAATAGGAAACAATCTGCAAAGTTCGCACAGGGCCAATTTCTCTTCCCACCAGCCAGTATAGAAAACCTCATGATTCATGGGGTGTCAAGTAAAATACTCAGAAGAATTTTGTCTCAGTAGCAGCCAAAATAAGCCCTAAACTTTGCTCTTGTCTCTTAAGGTACAAGACCCAAAAGAATTAAACTGTCTCCATGTAACCAACTCAGACAAAGGTTGAAAATATTTAAAGGCCTTTTAGGGGTGTCTGGGTGGCTCAGTCAGTTAAGCATCCAACTCTTGATTCCAGCTCAGGTCATGATCTCAGGACTGTGAGATTGATCCCTGCATCGAGCCCTGTATCAGGCTCCACTCTGGATGTGGGGCCTGCTTAAGACTCTGTCTCTCCCTTTTCCTCTGCTCTGCCACCCCCTTTCACACACACTCACTCTCCCTTTCAAAAAAAAAAAAAGTATATATATAATTTATATTTATAAATATATATATAGTTTACATATATATATGTATATATATATATTTTTTTAAGGACTTTTAAAAATCCAGCACCTAACAAGGTATAATTCACAAGGTCTGGGATCTGGTCTTTTTAATTACCAGGGCATGCAGAGATGCAGGATAATAAAACCAATAATGAGGAGAAAACTGTCATTAAAAACAACCCAGAAATCACACAAATGATAAAATGAGTAGACGGGACATTGAGACAATTAAAAATTGTACATTCCGTATGTTCAGAAAGCTAGAGGAAAGCTTGAACATATTAAGCAAAGTCAAGGACAACATAAATAAAACCAAAATCAAACTTCTGGAGACAAAAACTATAATGTCTGAGATGAAAAATATACTAGATGGGATAAGAAGGAGATTAGACATTACAAAAGAAAAAATTGGTGAACTTGAAGATAAAACAGTAGACACTGTACAAAACAAAATCAGAAAAAGACTGAAAAGATGGCAGACTTACTCCAAATTGATCTTATAATTCAAAGCAATCAAAACGTCAGTGTGCTTTTTGGAGAAATTGACAAGCTTCTCCTAAAACTTATATGGAAATGCAAAAATTTATATGGAAATTTATATGGAAATGCAAAAAAAAAAAAAAACTGTAGCCAAGACAGTTTTGAAAAAGAAAAGCCAAGTTGGATGACTATCATTTCAAAAATTACCACAAAGTCACATCAATCAAGACAATATAGTATTAGTACAGGTGTGGACATATGGACAACTGCAACAACCTAAAAATCCAGAAGTAAATTGTTAATATTATGGCCAGTTGATTTTTAACACAATTATATCAATAGCTGCTAATAAGCATCATCCTGCATAGAAAGGAACAAACTACCAATAAATGCTACAGATTGGTCAAACCTCAGAAACATTAAGTGAAAGAAGCCAGACCCAAAAGATTTTATATGATTACATTTATATGAAATTGCCACCAAAAGGCACACTTATGGAGACAGAAAGCAGATCCGTGGTCGCCTGAGGCTAGGGGTAGGAGAGAGGATTGACTGCAGACAAGCACAGGAGACATGAGGGGGATGGAAATGCCCAAACTGCACTGTGCTAATTTAGAGCACAGCTCTATAAATGGACTAAAAAATCATTGAGTTGTACAGTTCGGTGGGTGAATTTGAGGCTGTGTAGATGATATCTCAGTAAAGCTTAAAGAAAAAGGACAGGGAAAGAAAGAAGAACCCACAGAGATGACTGAGGCATGGACAACAAAACTCTTCTCAATTTTCATTTCACATAGGTGTTTGTCTTGCCTTTTTCTAACTTATTTTATGATGCAAGTAATCTGTTGTATATGTTCATGTACGTTTTTTACACTTAAAAATCCATGTAAGCAAAAAGAATAGAAAAAAAATTATACATAATCCTGGTGCCCAAATCAATATGTTAATGAATAGAAGGCATTCTTCCAAACTTATTTTATATGTTTACTTCTCTGTTTATACTGAAATCTCCTGCCTTATTTTGAAGAGACTGAAATGTTTTCCCTACTCTGTTGAATAGGCTATTTCTAACTATATTATGACAGATCCTCGTGGGGATGGGGGGGTTCTCTTTTATGGGATTAATACATTTATAGTGTATTCACATAAATTAATTTGTGTCAATTTGCAGGAATGGTTCCCCAAGGTGAGGCCAACTTTGCTCCATCTCTGAGCCCGGGGAGCTCCATGGTGCCGATGCCAATTCCTCCTCCTCAGAGCTCTCTGCTCCAGCCAACTCCACCTTCTTCTGGGTACCAGTCACCAGACATGAAGGCCTGGCAGCAAGGTGCAATGGGAAACAACAAGTAAGTAAGTTTTTATATATGAGCATCCCTGATCCCTGCAGCACATAGAACAGTCATGCCTTCACAATCAAAATAGAGTAGTATTGGCTACTGCCATTTGCAAGTTGATGGAACTGAATTTTATGTGATAGCAAAGAGAAATAATGACTTCTAAATCCTTTAAGTTTCAAGTTATTTTTAAGGTAAATATGTATGTTTACAGCACAGGAAAGTGATCTAGTGGCTCCCAACCTTCCCATCCCACCGCCAGCATATCTGAAGAACTTGATCAACTCCTGTGTGTAGCAGAGCTTCCCTGGGACAGATATAGAAATGGGTACTTAAAAAAAAAAAAAAGTGTTCTTTATAAACACACTTAAAAATCCTAAAAATTTAAAGCAAGAATGGCTAAATATCAGAATTCACTAGAGCCTGAACAGCATGTTTGAAAGCAACAGCAAAGGTTTTGAGACTTCTCAGGCTGTTCTGCCTCAGCCAGCTTTTTGAATCTCTAGATTTTTGGTGGCCTCATCTTGCCCATTCTGCTTAGAATTATCTCACTAATGTCATTTTCCCCCCAAATCCTGGCTGCTGAACTTTTCACACTTCACTTGAGTTTTATAAGGCTTTTAATTAGGTTGTGTCTTGGTTCTAATGACAGGGAAGCCGTTTGATCTGACAACATAATAAGTAAGGCAGTTAAAGTTGAAAACTTAAGACCATATTCTCCTAAAGTTCACTGAAAGGTGAGAGGAAATCTTCCCGTTAGAGAACTGTGTAGCTCTCAGTGAGGACCGTGTGTAAATTAGGTAGAAATGAACTGTCTATATAACATGCAAGAAGAATTTAGTCTCCTAATATGTTCTAATCCCAGCTTTCTAAATTCACTTTAGATTCCACGATCCATGATTGTCGTTATTCCCTTACAGATACTCCACTCCCTTGCCCAGCTCTCCCTCTGTTGCGCTTGGCCCTGCTAGCAAAACGCTCCCTAATGAAATCCAGCTAAACTCTAGCTCCATACCTACATCTAAGCATTTAAATGTGTCTTGGAAAAAACACAGTCCTCCTGACAGGTCTGCTCCCCTTTACAGTTAAATTCCCTAAAAGACTCTTAACGATTATTCTCTTTCTCTTGTGGACCAGTCAGGCTTTCATCCCTGCCACTTTACCAGAAGTATTCTTGTCAAGGTCATCAGTGTCCTCTGCAATGCCAAATGCGGTGATTGTTGGTAGCATTTGACATATTTGAGCGTTTATTCTTTCTTGAAGCTTCTTCATTTAGTTTCTGGAACAACTTTCTCTCTTGAGAAAGGTAACTCTCATCCTGTCTCTCAGGTCCTCTGCTGGATCTTCCTCATCTCCCTGAGCTCCATTTGAGGGCCTCAGAGCTCATTCTATCTACTTGCTCCCTTGGTTATGCTGTCTACTTTATAGCTATAAATGCCTGTCCCAATGTTTATGACTCCCCAATTTAAATCAGTTAAGCGTCTGCCTTCGGCTCAGGTCATGATCCCAGGGTCTTGGGATCAAGTCCCTCATTGGGCTCCTTGTTCCGCGGGGAGCCTGCTTCTCCCTCTGCCTGCCGCTCTCCTTGCTTGTGTGCTCTCTGTCTCTCTCTCTGTCTCTCTCTCTCTCTCTCTCGGACAAATAAAATCTTTAAAAAAATAAAATAAAGTCTATAAATCTCCAGCCCAGACTTCTCCCGTGAACACCATACTGTACGTGCAACTGCCTGATCGACATCCCACTCAGAAGTCTAATAGGCATTTCAAGCTTAACCTGATAAAATCTGAAGGGGTATATTCTCCCCCAAAACCTGCTTCTCTTCTACTTGTCCCCATCTCACTGAACGACAACTTCATTCTTCCAGTTATTCAGAAGAAAACCTCTATCTCCTCTCATGTCCCACATCAGACAGCCCATCAACAGATCCTGCCAGCTTCTTAGCAGCTCTCACTTCTTCCCTGCCCCATTTGGACACTTCAGTGCCAGCCACCATCATCTTTGCCCTGGACTGTTGAAGGAGCTTCCGGTCTCCCTGCTTCCACCCTTGCTCCTCTGCAGTGCAATCTCCACGTGGAGGCCAGGTGATGCTTTTCAAACGTGAGCGGTATGGCAGTCCTTCACTCACAACTCACCAGCTGACTCAGAATGCAGGATAGGGCCTGTGAAGCCCACATAATCTTGTTCCTGGGTCCCTTTCTGACCTCAGCTGCTATTCCCATCACTCAGTTTGCACACTGGTATCTGTTTATTCTTCTGTTCCTCACATGTGCCAAGTACATTGCAAACTCAGGGCCTTTGCGTTTTTAAATCCCTCTGTCAGAATGTTCTCCTCACAGTAGCCACATGGTTTGCTCTCTCACACTTCAAGTCTCTCCTTAAATGTCACCTTATTAGACATAGATATTAAATGTCACCATATTAAACTTCCCTGACCATCGTTTCTAAAACAACAGCAGTTTCCACCCCCTCATCCCTTTGTTCCCTTCTGTATTTCTCTTCATAGTCCTTACCACCTGACATATTGTGTGTTAGTCCGTTTGTTTGTGGTCTGTCTCTTCCAACTAGAATATAATCATCCTAAGAGCAAAACTTTGTTTACTTGGGTATGTCCACCCTTAATGGTGAGCACTTAATGTACATCTTTTGAGTGAATGAGTACAAAAATTCCCTGTCTTACCTCAGTCGCTTCTTGGGTTCAGATTCAAATGTGGGCTTCAATTTTTGTTGTACTTTGTTTTTGTGAACTTTGATTTAGCCAAATCATTTGAAAAAGAAAATAGTTGTCACCAAGTCTCCAAGCATTCACACTTGCTTACTTGCTTCATTAGTCAACATAGGCAGCATGCATTTTGTGACCCCTTGCTGTTTATCTTGCACAGCACAAGCTACCACAGGGAACTGGGGTCAACTGCCCTTGCTGTCAAGTTACCAAGAGTCCAGTTGGTGACAGCAGTAAATGGAGAGAAGTAACACATGAAACAAAGAATCATTTAGTAGAATGATGGAATAGAGTTCAGAGACTGTGTAATGTAATTCTTTTTCATGATCTCTCCGGTGGCAAGAAAAATAAAGGGTTAAACCAAACCTCTCTGTCCTGGAACAGTGCAGATTTGTAACACTAGTTGCTAGGAAGAGTCTGAGCGCTTGTTAGCATTTTAAAGCCTAGGAAAGCCTGTTGTTTAACCCTTTGTTTTTAGACTTACATGACCTGGAGCACCTCCCTGCTTGTTAATAATACCTCTAATACCTATGGAAGCCACTTCAGGCCGAAGTCTTCATCCTTACCTTCCCCCTCCCCACCACGATTTAGGGGCTTCCAAATACCTGGTGCTAGTGTAAGAAACTGTAGTAACTGCCATGGGGCTGACCAAGAAAGCAGAGGGAGGGAGAATTTCTTTGCACCTTGGGCCTAAGGTGCCGGGGAACCCCATGGTTCTGAGACCTAGAACAGTGATTGATGCTGCAGAGGGCTTGGTCTTCTTCCCATAATGGAAGAAACTAAAATGGAACTATTGGCAAGAGCAGTTTGAATGAACTTAAGCTAATATAAGTCCCAAGAATAAATGTGAAAAGAAATTAAATCCTAAACTTTTTTCACTAAGTATGACATCATTGCAGTCCTTGAAGCTTCTGCATGCATTAACTTAACATAGCCCTGAGTTGAGCCTTCACAGTGGGGATTTATGGATCAGTTGACAAATGAGCATTGTCTGGGGCAGAAATGTTCTCATTAGAAAATGGGCAGCAAACTAATAGGTTTTTCCTCACCTTTAGTTGTGGGGACACTGCCTCACAAGCGTCACACTGTACAGACATTAATGGTTCAAAGATGTATTATTGACCATTTCCTAGGCATATAATTTTCTTTGAGCATTTGTGTTTTATAATTACTTGGGGAAAATTTGCTGCTTTTCTTCAGACATGATGAATAGGCTGTTTCTCAGTCTGTTAATTTTAGCATGATTACCTTAATCTACCAGAAACTATAAATGTCAGTATATCCTGTTTACCTCCCAGGAGCTAGCAAGGAATAGATAAGGGATAGATAAGTCACTGATGGGGTAAATAATTTTTAGAAATCAAATTCTCCAGAATTAACATTAAAATAGGTGGAATTCTGTGCTCGCTTCGGCAGCACATATACTAAAATTGGAACGATACAGAGAAGATTAGCATGGCCCCTGTGCAAGGATGACACGCAAATTTGTGAAGCGTTCCAAATTTTAAATAAAAAAAATAAAATAAAATAGGTGGAATTCAATCAGTAGTTTATTGTTTAACAACTGATAATCTTAAAACATTTGGTGTTTTGTAGAACTTGTAAAAGACACAATTCATATCATTTTCCTTTAGATGTGTATATCTGTATCATTTAGAATTTGGGAGCTCAAATATAAAGTTTCAAGTTGTATTTACTTGGAGGTTATTCCATTCTGTTCTACCTACTAAGAGAAACAGTCCAAACTATAACAACAGTCCAGAATTAGGCCATAAAGAAGGAAGTCAGTAAAACAAGCCCTCTGAAAAACATAATTGCCCTTGCATTTTGCTTCTGGAAAAGACATAAAGCCACCTTCTGGCCTGAGAAGACCTTTGGAGTCTTTAAAAACATTACATTTGCCAAATAAAAATATCTGGTTATATTCCTCTTAGTTTATAGCATAGTGAAAGCAACCAGAAGCTGAATCCTTGAGAAGCGACAGCAAGCTCTACAACATTGAATAAAGGCCCTTGAGTCTTAATGTGCATAAATAGTTAGAAATGTGACTTTCTGTGCCTACCCTCAGAAACTGATTCACTAGGGCTGGAGTAAGGCCTGGGGGTCCCAGTTCTCAAAGAGTCCCAGGGAATTCTCTTCATACGGTCTCTGGACTTCCCTTAGAAAAACATTGGTGTAGATACCAGAAAATCTATAAATAAGAAGCAGTCCAGACCTCATCAGTTGACAGCACTGAGTAATAATAACCCATGTCCATAATTCACAAAAATAAAGATATTTACTGAGTGCTTGTCATGTGTCACTTATTACTAGAGACAAGGAATGAGTGGAACAAGATAGTACTGTTCACCTTAAGTGTTAAGTCTAAGAAGGTGTACAAGCAATCATAGTATAAGAATGCCATCTTTGAATCATGGATTCCTTTGTTAATTCATTCCGTGAACATTTATTGAACATTGATATATGTCCCAGGCATTTTGCTTAAATAGAACATTCTTGGTTTATGAAGATAAAATAGTATAATAAATTTTAGAATGATTTTGATTGTTAAATGAGTATATTACAGTTATCTGGAAGATGCACTTATGTGGAAAACTTTCTTAATTATTCAGCTAATTGGAACTTAACAACTCTGATACCAGGTCAGATAATTGTAACTTAAAACGAGCTCTCTGTAGTTATTAAATCCTTTGGGCAGAGGTCAAAATTCATCTGAATTACACTCAATTTCTATATATTGTAATAAGATATAAAGTCTTAACATGTAGTTTAAGAATGTAAAATCTTTTCTTTGGAATTGTATCTAATACTCAAGAAACAGTTCAGTCACATTACCCCCGTGTTCACGATCTGTGGATGTAATTGGGATTGTTTTTGAGTTAACAGTGTGTTCAGTCAAGCTGTCCAGAACCAGCCCACGCCTGCACAGCCAGGCGTGTACAACAACATGAGCATCACCGTGTCCATGGCAGGTGGAAACACAAATGTTCAGAACATAAACCCAATGATGGGCCAGATGCAGATGAGCTCTTTGCAGATGCCAGGAATGAACACTGTGTGCCCCGAGCAGGTAAGTGACACAGCTGGCACACTTGCTGCCCACCCCCCAGACCACACCACAGGTCATTCCTCCGGGGAAAATCAGGTATGTTCAGTTACTCGTCAAAAATAACCACACCGTCCAGTGATGCGTGTCAGTTATTTCTCAATAACACTAGGGGGAAAAGACGCCCTTCTTTATGATTTCCCACTATCTTTTGATAATTACTACCTCTTAAGATATACGATGGAAATTTTGACAGACCTGGTAAGATTTTAGTCTCAAGAGATTTTATTGTTTTAGATTTATTATAAAATGATACAGGGGCACCTGGGGGTCTCAGTCAGTTAAGCATCCGACTCTTGATCTCCGCTCGGGTCTGGACCTCAGGGTCATGAATCCAGGCTCTGAATTCAGGCCCTGAGTTGGGCTCCACGCTGGGCATGGAGCCTACTTAAAAATAAATAAATAAAATAAAATGATACATATAATACATTGGCTTGTAACTTACCCCTTTATATTCTGAACACATTTTCTTCACTTTTCCCTTTCATTTCAGCAAACATTTATTCAGTACTTACTATATACAAAGATAGCTCTGTGGGAGATAATAGTAACAAGTTGGGGAGACACAACATAAACAAAGGATCAGTTGAATAATAGGACAAAACTGCTGCGTAAGAGACAGACCTCCATGGGACCATACATTTTACATCAGATTGGGGTATGTGCAATTCACTACTGAGGGTTTCAGGGAAAAGCTGCGTGATGAAGAAAGGCTTCTTGGAAGGTTTGCCTGAAGAAAGAGAATAGAAAAAAACATTCAAGACTGGTTGCCACAGCATAACCTAGGCAAGGGATAGAGGTTGAAAAGTCTCATGAAGTTAAGGGGACATTGATAGTATATTTAAAGCAGAATTTATGTGGTAAGCTTTTGGGGGGCGTTGCAAGCCATCTAAATGTTTTAGCGTTTATCCTGGAGCCTCCTGAAGATTTTTAAGGACAGAATGACTAAATTCAAAATGATACTTAAGAAGATCATTGCAGTACCTCCCTGTAGTTACTGTTCTCATTTGAGCAACCACAAAGTAGACTGTGCTCATGTAGCCATAATTTATAACAAGTCTTAAATTACCTTTTCTATAGGATGCTTTTTTGATGTGAATTTTTTAGAAAACTTTCTGTTCCCCAGATATTATATAATAAGTCCCTAAGGAGTTTAGCAGGGAAAAAAATCAACAACTTAGTGATTCATTTCTTATAGCAAAATAGAAGACCTACTAGTATTGTCTGTTTCCTTGTTCTTATTATTCAGTTATTAGAATTTTTCACTACCTCCAGCAGATTACAATAATAAAAAATATAATGAATTAGGTAAAATAATATTACACTTAAAGCATAGCTCTTATTTAGTTGGGTCTTGCTTTCTTACTCAGTTCGACAATCTGTACCTTTTATTTGGAGTGGTTAGCTCACTGACATATAATGTGATTCTTAATATGGTTGAATTGAAACATCTCATCTTTTTTGTTTTTTTTTTTTTGTTCCATCTCTTGCCTTTCTTTGGTTTAATTGAACATTTTAATTCATTTTATCTCCTTTGATGGCTTATTAACTATATATAACTCCATTTTGTTAGTTTAGTGGTTGCTTCAGAATTTATAGCATACATCTTTAACTTATTGTCATGTACCTTCAAGTGCTATGATAATTACCTCGTGTATAAGAACCTCACAGCTGTTTACTTCCATTTCTCCCCTCCTGTGCTGTTGTTACCATACATGTCTACTTATGTCATATACCCCACGTACTTTTACTTTAAACAATTACATATTTTTTTTAATTTTAAGAATGTATGATGACTAACAATGTAATAAAATAAAATTAAAAATAAATAAGACAAAACAAAACAAAAAAGAATGTTTATATTTACCTGTGTAGTGATTTACAGTGGTCTTCATTCCTTTGTGTAGATCCAAATTTCCAGCTTGGTATCATTTTCCTTCTGCCTGAAGGTCTTCATTTAGCATTTCTTTTTTTTTTTTTTTAAGATTTTATTTATTTATTCATGAGAGACAGAGACAGAGAGAGAGAAGCAGAGGGAGAAGCAGGCTCCCCACTGAGCAGGGAGCCCGATGCGGGACTCGATCCCAGGACTCTGGGATCATGACCTGAGCCGAAGGCAGACGCTTAACCATCTGAGCCACCCAGGCGCCCTTCATTTAGCATTTCTTATAGTTTGCCGCTGCTGAATTCTTTCAGCTTTTGTATGTCTAAAAAAGTTTTTGTTTCCCCTTCATCTTTGAAAGAGTTTTTTCCCTGAATTTTAGGTTGACTTTAGTTTTAGCTTTCAGTACTTGCGAGATGTTGCACCGCCGCAGTGTTTCTGATGTGTTATCTGCTGGCATTTTCTCTTTGTTCCTCTGTACATGATTGATTTTTCTCCCACTCTTGCTGCTTTTAAAAAAGATTATTCTCTTTGTCACTGGTTTTAAGTAATTTGATTACAGTATGCCTTAGTGATTGTTTTCATGGTTCTTGTGCTTGGAGTTCAGTGAGCTTCTTGATTTATGGATATATAATTTTCATCAAATTTGGAAAACTATTGACCATTGTTTCTTCAGGTATTTTTTCTGTCACCACCCACCTCCTTTCCTTCAGAGACTCTTAATTACACACACACACACACACACACACACACACACACACTATTATATTAATTATATTATATTATATTATATATATACATAGTGGCCACTTGAACTTGTCCCACAACTCACTGATTCTCTGGGTTTGCGGATTTTGGGGGGAGGGGTAGAAGGTCAGTCGGTTTTTTTCTCCGTGTGTTTCATTTTGGATAGTTTCTATTGCTGTAGCTTTAAGTTCATGAATCTTTTTCTTTTCTTTCTTTTCTTTTTTTTTTTTTTGCAATGTCTGATCTGTTAATTTCACCCAGTATATTTTTCATCTCAGGTATTCTGCTTTCCTCTTCAGAAGTTCAGTGCAGACCTCTTTTGTATCTTCTGTACCTCTAACACGTTTAGCCTTTCCTCTTATCTTCTTGAACATCCAGAATATGGTTCTTGTAATTGTCTTAATATTCATGTGTGTCAGTTCTATCATCTGCATCATTTTGGGGTTGGTTTCAATTGACTTTTCATTATAGGTCATATTTTTCTGCTAATTTGCATGACTTGGTAATCTTTTATTGGGTGCCAAACATGTGAATTTTACCTTGTTGATATTCCTACATTCTTGAGCTTTATTCTGGGAAATGGTTCAGTTACTTGAAACAGTTTGACCCTTTCAGGTCTTGCTTTTTTGTTTAGTAGGACCAGAGCAGTATTTAGTATAGGGTTCATTTTGCTTTACTACTGAGGCAAAGCCTTTCTAATATGTTGCCTGATACTATATGAATTATGATGTTTTCCACTCTGGCTGGTTGGATCAGGACCTATTCCCAGCTCTGTGTGATCTTTGGGAATTACTCCATCAACATCTTTTCCGGTGACTCTTTCCTCTGCTTTGGGTAGTTCCCTAAAATCCATTAGCAGATCAGTACTAAGTTGCAGACTCGAGGGGACCCTCTGCAGCTCTTCAGAGCTTTCTCTCTGCTTAGCTCCCTCTCCTCTGATATTCTGCCCTGTGAACTCCAGCTGCCTTGACCATCTGACATCCAGCTGCATCATCTCAGCTCAGGGAGCCTGCAAGGCTCCGCCAGGGTTCCCTGTCCCCACTCTGGCTGCAGCCTGGAAATTCTCTGGAGACAGTAGGCTGAGGCAATTGTAGGACACACCTCAGTTGTTCCCTAGCTCTTAGGGATCACTCTCCTTCATTGGGTTTGTCCAGTGTCTTGAGTGCCTTCGTTTCATATATTTTATCCAATTTTTTCATTGATTCAGGCAGAGGATATACCTGATTGCTATTACTAAATCTTGGCAAGAAATAAAAGTTGTTTGCTGATTAACTTTTGTATGTGTGAATTTAACTTTTTATTGAAGTATCATATAAGAATATACCGAAAAATATACAACTCCATGAATTTTCACAAACTGAACACATCTTTATTTTTTTATTTTATTTTTTTTAAAGATTTTATTTATTTATTTGAGAGAGAGAATGAGAGAGAGAACATGAGAGGGGGAAGGGTCAGAGGGAGAAGCAGACTCCCCGCTGAGCAGGGGAGCCCAATGCGGGACTCGATCCCGGGACTCCAGGATCATGACCTGAGCCGAAGGCAGTCGCTTAACCAACTGAGCTACCCAGGCGCCCTGAACACATCTTCAAAGCTACCATTCAGATCAAGAAATAAAACATTATCAGCGGTACCCCGGAGGTTCTCTTCATGCTCCCTTCCACATCCCTCTTCACCCCTGCAAAGGAAAACACTGTCCTGACTTATAACAACACAGTAAATTGCTAAGCTTTTTATTTCTGCTGCACCCCTATTTTCTGTCAGTGAGATTATTTTTCATTGAAGAATTTGGTCTTCAACTTAAACAACTAGCTCGTAATTTGGTCTTGTACTTATCTTTAATAGATAAATGATCCAGCACTGAGACACACAGGCCTCTACTGCAACCAGCTCTCATCCACTGACCTTCTCAAAACAGAAACAGATGGAACCCAGGTCAGTAAGAAAATTTAAAACCCAGAGCTGCCAAATGTACTGTAGATACACAGGAAACTTTGTTTTAGCATCGTGGTTAAGAGCCTGACCTTGGGAGTCAGACCTGGGTGTGAGTCCTGGCTCTGCTCTTCTTAGCTGGTCCTCCTGGACATGTTAGGGAACCTTCCTGAGCTGCTACTTAACCAACAGAACTAACAAGATACCTGCTA